AGCAATTGTGAAAACGCACAAGGGCCCTTAAGGATAACTGTTTGCACAACAGTAGGCGTCAAAATGCTGCTGATGATGATTTACCTTTACAGCAAATGCTCAAACTGTTTTCCTTCAGCCGCAATACACGCTCGACATCTTCTTAAAAAAGATCGGGTTATTAAACGAGCGAATCAACGGTTATTAAAAAACTCAGCTGCTTCCAATAGTCTTTGCCGTAGCTCAGCTACATTTTGAATCGGCTTGAAATACACTTTTTCTTTTACAGTTCCCCAGTAAAAAAATCTAAAGGATTCAAATCAGGTGATCGGGCTGGCCAGGGTATTGTACCAGACCGCCTTATACATCTGCCTGGAAAGTTTTGATCGAGATACTCTCTCACTGAGAGTGCATAGTGCGCTGGGCAGCCATCATGCTGAAACCACATGTCCCTGTAAATACTCAGTAGCATGGCCTCCAATAAATTTTCTAAATGATTTTGCAAAAAACCTAAATAAACCTCAGCAGGCAAAGTCTCTGGGAACTCAAACGGACCGATTATTTTACCATTTAAAATTCCTGTCCAATGGTTTATCTTAAAGCGATATTGAGATTTATCTTCTCTCATCAAATGTGGGTTTACTACGTGCCACTCATGTAAGTTATGCAGGTTCATGTACCCATCTTTCTTAAATGTGGTCTCATCTGACCATAAAATTTTTTCAAAAAACCGTGGATCTTCCCTGTGTCTTTCTAACATTGTGCGACAAAAAGCAACTCAGGGCTCATAATCCCGGTGCAGAAGAGCTTGAACACGCTGTACGTGGTATGGATGGAGCACGTTTTTTTTTGCAAGATTCTATGGGCTGTACTTTTGGGCACACCTGTTTTTAGTTCTATTGCACGCACTGAAGTACTCGGGTCTTCTTCGACAGCTCCTAGCACCACGTCTTCGTAAGGAAGGAAAGATCTTCCCTCACCGTGTGATTGGTTTGGTAGTTGGCCCTCTGAGAACAGTAAGCGGTGCACATTTGTGAACACTCGATGATCTGGATGACGAGCTGCATTCGGGTACCTCTCACAGTAAAGTCTCGCTGCAGCACTAGCGTTGCATCTGCATTCCCCATAAATGAGGTGCATGTTAGCATATTCTTGTACGGTGTACACGGACATAGCGGCACTGCACAATCACACTATCAAAGATAGTCTAAGGAAAGCAAATGTTGTTTTGAAGAGCAATTAAACAGTCCAAATCCAAGTCACAAGCGATCAACAGTCCAGTTCACGAATCCAAAATTAGTAACAGTACGAAATCAACGAGCACGAACATGTAAAGATGCGCAGTAAACGAAGGAGTACTGATCGGTATCAAAGTGTGCAATAGCAAGTAAGTGATGTGCTTCATCCATACCACATACAGCGTGTTCTACCTCTCCTGCCCCGGGATTATGAGCCCCGAGTTGCTTTTTGTCGCACAATGTTAGAAAGGCACAGGGAAGATCCACGGTTCTTTGAAAAAATTTTATGGTCAGATGAGACCACATTTAAGAAAGATGGGTACATGAACCTTCATAACTTACACGAGTGGCACGTAGCAAACCCACATTTGATGAGAGAAGATAAATCTCAATATCGCTTCAAGATAAACCATTGGACAGGAATTTTAGATGGTAAAATAATCGGTCCGTTTGAGTTCCCAGAGACTTTGGCTGCTGAAGTTTATTTGGATTTTTTGAAAAATCATGTACAAAATTTATTGGTGGACGTGCCACTAAGTATTTACAGGGACATGTGGTTTCAGCATGATGGCAGCCCAGCGCACTATGCACTCTCAGTGAGAGAGTATCTCGATCAAAACTTTCCAGGCAAATTTTCATCAGTTTTTTTTCAAATAAAAATTGTGCATAAGTTAACGAGTAATCTTCTAAGTGTTATACCATTTTGGAATCGTTATTAAATGCGCCAACTTTTAAGGTTACTTGCCAAACTCTCGTAGTACATTTTTTCCAGTACAGCCAGTTAAAGTTGAGCAAAGTTTTACTTTGGAATACTTGGTTGGGAAATAAGTGGCAATTTTTCCTGAACGAGAAAAGTTGACAGTAAGGTTGAGACACCAGTTTGAAGATGCATTATTCATCATTACATTGTAAAAATAAAATCCAAAAAAAGTTAATATTTGTAGTAACAGGAGTTGACAGACTGCCGTAGGGTGTGAAATTTCTATATCCTTTTCAAAGACCTATAATTTTCAAAACACATACATAAAATTTTTTTAAATATTTTTCTGATAGCTGTTATGACTTTGTCTATCACCTGGTTTCGGCTTGACGTCGACTTCTGGGACACCCTGTATATATATATATATATACTAAGTGACATATAAATCCGAACACCCAGTTTAAATAGTTTTATTCTAATGAAATTTTGTATTAGGGCTTAATGAAGCATAATAAGTAAATAGTAAAAATTTCAAAACGATTACACTGCTTTAAAGCCCTTTGACCTTTAATAATGTGTGGATGCACCCTGGTGTGCTACGCATTCTCCAACGCGCCTAGGCATGCTTCTGATCAGGTGGTCAATGTCCTCCTTTGGTATCTTATTCCAGGCAACCATCAACTCCACTCGAAGTGCTTCTAGAGTCTGAGGAGGACGTTGCAAATTGAGCAATCTCCTACCCATCATATCCCACACGTGCTCAATTGGGGATACGTCGAGAGATCTTGGTGGCCATGGTAACAATGTGACATCATTATGTTGAAAGAAGTCTATTGTGACTCTTGCAACATGTGGTCGGGCATTATCTTGTTGGAAAGTTGGATTTGCCAGGGTGTCAAGATGGGGTAAAAGATGGGGTTCTAGAACTTCTTGGATATAACGCTGCGCGTTCATGTTACCTCTGATGAAGATTAAAGGTGACCTGGAACTATAAGCTATAGCACCCCAAACCATAACTCCAACAATGTGATGAACATGTCTTTCAACAAAAAACTGTGGATTCCTCCTTTCACCACGTCGCCTTCTAACCCTGGCACGACCATCGTGCATGACTAAACAAAATCGAGACTCGTCACTAAAGACAATACTGTTCCATTTCTGATCCCAGAGTGACCGTTGTCTGCACCACTCCAGGCGATTACGTCGGTGTTCTCGAGTTAAAGGGAGGACCCAGTGTGGCCGGTATGAAAACAAGCCAAAACTTCTCATTCGTTGGTAAACACTTCGCATGCCAATAGGTCTTCCGTGTTCTGCAAACCATTCATTTACAATGGACCTGGTAGTGGAGAAACGGTCCCTTAAGGCCAATAATCTTAGGCGGCGATCTTCACGGTCTGTTGTTCTACGGCGGCATCCTGTGCCCCTTGCTCTTTGCGTACGGCCTTCTCGATGCCATGCCTGACAACACCTAACCACAGTGTCTATACTTCTTTGCACTCTAACTGCAATTGCCCGAAAAGAAGGTCAAGCTTCCCGAAGTCCCACTATACGGCCCCCTATTAAACTCACTAAGTTGACGAAATCGTACAGGTCTCCGTACTCTAGGCATCGTAACCGATCATATAGGATGTCAAGAACCAAAATCCGCCAACGTTGATTCTTTACTGCGGCTGAAATATTCATTTTTAGAGCGTTACAGAGTGAGGACACACACACATTGATGTGTGTGTCCTCACCGTGTAGGGCGGCCCGGGTTCATGGAGCGATTCGAATCCCTGGATTCGTTGCGTTGTCGGACCCGCTCTAACGGATTCTTTTTGTTCAGGACGATGTCAATTGCTATCACGCGCCTCGCAAAGTCTACCTACTTGATAGGATCCAACATAGCATGGTCATGGAAAAGCTACTGGCTAAAGTGAACATCTACACACAAAAATTATCTTAGGTAGAACTCTGCCATCTCTTGAAACTTTATGTCAGGGCACTTCTTAATCAAGGTACAGTATTGTGATTTGGAAGCATTAAAATGTATCAGATTATTCCATCTGCGCTGCGGTGATAATTTCCAGGTTTCTCGACAGAGAAGAAGTCGCCACTCGCCTTCTCCTCTCCATCTTATCAGCAGAGATTAGTTCGCCACACTGAATGCCAGCGCAAAGAGTACTATAATCGGCAAAGCTGTAGGGATTGACCGTATAGGAAAGGAGGTCGTTTATATGAGATAGAACAATATCTTGAGGACGAGACCGATCACTGGGGAACACTCGCATTGATATTGTGGAAAGAATAAGAGAAGCCGTCAAATGGAAGGAAAGCCATCCACCCATCTGCAAGGCTTGTCTGGGAGGTCATCGGATGGGAGCTTGCGTAAGAAGGTAGTATGTTATAGCTGGTTGCAAGCTTTCTTGATGTCAGGAGCGACGGCTTGAGCCTCACGATGTGACTGGTGTGCTTACTCTACAAGTGTGTGCCGTGTGACCGCTGGTGCCAAAAAACATATGCCTGACGCTAACCAAACCGTGATGTTCAAGATTAATACCCTGTTTATGCACTTTTCACCATTTTGCTAATTCATGCACCTCTGCATCACCTCACTTGTCACAGAAAACAGAGCCCTAAGTTGTAACGGTCGACCTTGGATCCTTTTTTGACACGAGCTGGATATGAGCAAACTAATTTTCTGGGAAAGTACCAGATCCGTGGTTCTCATTTTAACACCGTTAAGCTCTGTGTACAGAGACCTGGATATCGAGATTGCTAATTCATTACAGGGGTAATAAGTTCTATAAGCTTAGAGAGTTAAAAAATTTATCACCATGATATTTTTAGGACCTTTCCTTCCGGCCTTGTCGGCTGCTCCATTATAAAGACTATCAGTGGATATAGAATATTTCATATGCTGATACTGGCAATCATCGCAATTAACCCTCCAATAGTCGTGCACGGTCTCACTGACCGACGAAGACTGAAAATACAGGTAAAAATCCCAAATATGCTTGCAATAGTACGCCGCTCTAGGAATTCCCCCACTTCATTCAACGCTTCTTCTAGACTTGCGGCAACATTGGTTAGTGTGATAGTGTGCTGTCAACAGTCAATATCGGCCTCAGGCACCGACGCGATTATTTATGCACTGTCGTAAACACTTAACGCAAACAAGGTAAGGTGTATAAATTAAGTTATTTCTGTAATCACATGGCGTTATCTTATGATCTTGGTATTTTTAGATGTACAGATATACTTATAAAAAGGAACAACAGCGACTTCAATATTTGTTTGAAACAGTCACTATCACAGACACTGAGTCGGACCATGATTCTGACGAAGATGAGATTTCCGGTCATCAGTTAGAAAGTTGCTTCTCCAACCAAATTATCGACGAAGGTGAAGAATATTTGGATTCCGAGTCGGACTGTGATGAAGCAGATTTCGTTCAGGAGCCTCTAGAAGCTCATAGTTCAAGCGAAGAAGCTAACATCACATATTTCGAGCCACCACTCAGCAGTACCCTAAGTTTTTTGGGTAAGGATAAGCAAACAAGATGGAAAAAAGTTTCTCCGTTACCGAAGAATACTAAGACCAGATCTGAGAATATCATAAAAGTATTACCAGGACCAAGTACATACACAAAAAACTTGAAAACTCCCATAGAAATTTGGTAATATTTTTTTTTCAGAAGAAATTTTATTGATACTATTGTTCTACATACGAACGAAATGATTGAGAGTATTCAAGCAAATTTTTCAAGAGACAGGGATGCAAATTTTACAAATTCAGATGAACTTTATGCACTTCTGGGCTTTGTGTATTTAGCTGGAAAGTACAAGGCAAGTCATCTCAATTTAGACGATTTATGGAAAGCTGACGGATCTGGAATAGAAATATTTCGGTTAGTGATGTCCCTTAGAAGATTTAGGTTTTTGATGCGAGTTTTACGTTTTGATAATAAAGCTTCTTGTCAGGATCGATTGAAACAGGATAAACTTGCTGCAATCCGACATATTTTTGATTTGTTTGTAGAACGATGTCGCAAAGGATATCATAATTCGGAATTTGTCACAATTGATGAAATGCTTTTGGGTTTTCGTGGGAAATGTAATTTCCGGCAGTATATTCCGTCAAAGCCAAACAAATACGGAATAAAAGTTTTAGCAATGTGTGACGCTGAAATGTACTATACCAGTAATTTGGAAGTGTATGTTGGTCTTCAACCAGAAGGTCCTTATAAAGTATCAAACAGTGCTCAAGATGTTTTCATGAGACTCTCAGATGGAATTCAAGGAACCAATAGAAATATCACAATGTATAATTGGTTCACTAGCGTTCCATTATTTAGACAACTATATGAAAAAAATTGACTGCTATTGGTACTATCCGCAAAAACAAGCGAGAGCTACCCTTGGAGTTTACTGTACCTGCAACCAGACCTCCAAAGTCTAGCATGTTTGGATTTCACTGTGAATGTACACTTGTATCATATATTCCTAAAGCAAGAAAGAATGTGTCACTTTTGTCCACGATGCATCACAATGATGATTTAGATTTTGACACAGGTGATCATTTGAAACCAGTAATAATAACTGATTATAATTCCACAAAAAGTGTTGTTGATATAGTGGACAAGCTAATTGCTAACTATAACTGTGCTCGAGGTAACAAAAGGTGGCCTGTAGTGATATTTTATGCACTAATGAATATTGCTGGTATAAATAGCCAAATTATTTACTAGGCTAATAATCCGAATGCTGAGGTGTTGAGAAGAACTTTCATTCACAATTTATCATATGAACTTTTTACTCTACGTATGCGAAAAAGGTCCAGTTCGCCATATATTCCAAGACATGCGATTACGTCTAAAAGAACTAACAAACCAAGATACCACTCCAGTTGAAAGAGGGCAAATTGGAAGATGCAAATCTTGTGGATCTAAGAAAAACCGCAAAACAAAATATAAATGCGAACATTGTGGTGTTTTTTTGTGCTTAGAACGCTTATTTGGCATATGTAACGATTGTAAATAACTCAGTTTACCTTTCTATAACGTTTTTCGATACTTCAGTATAGCAATGTTTTTTTCTTCACTTTTTTTACCACCCCTTTTTAGAGATACCTCTTCTTTGCATTTTGCTTGCTATTTTGTAGGGATATGTTTTTAATTGAAATAAAACTGGTTTAAAATATGCAGTATTATCATTTTTATTTCAAAAAAAGTCAAACCTACTTCGTAATAAGCGACTCTTTTCTACCTAGCAAAGCCGGTCTCAGGGACCGACGCAACCAAACTATGCTAAATTTATCACGCGACAAATGTAGGTTTAACCATCAGTATTAATGTAAACCAGGGTTTCCCAACACTTATGTTTTGCTGAAGCTTCCCGGACTATAAATTATATATTTATAGTCCGGGATATATACCTTTTTCAATAAAAACAAAAATGCACATTATATAGGCACACAGACTTTTATTTTAATTCTAAAAGTTTAAATAAACTAATAAATGTTTTTATCTAAAAACTTGAATAAAATAAGAGTAGTTGCTAATGAGACACTTGAGATTGCATGTTCTGTACCAGTTGGTTGATTCTAGGTTCTGTTTTTGTCAGAGCTATCATTAGGTTGCTATCGACATCGAGACGATTTGGCTGTTTAGTTTTAATTAAAACCAGAGCTGAAAAGCCCGTCTCACATAAGTAAGTTGAAGAAAAAGGAACTAGTACTCGTAAAGCAAGAGAGGCAAGTGTCGACTTAACAGGCAACCATTTGATCCAAAATTTCTGCAATGTTAAAAGATGGAAGTCGTCTTTTATGGACGAATCAGCCTTCATTTCTTCTTAGTGAACTTCTTCTGGTAATTGTGACACGTCGACAACAAATGGATTTCTTCTCATATGCCATATTGGTGATTCTGAATTGATGTCTCGATAGTATCATCTTCCAGCGCTTTCAAATGAGTTTTTATGTCAGCTTTTAAATTTGCATCCAGCATGCTATTTTTAATTGCTTCAAGCAGCCGAGAAAAAGATATAACATTTTCAAAAAACACCTTTTGATTCTAAAGTTAAATCTTTGATATGCACCCCTGAATATAATCATAATTGCTTATTATAGTGTTGTTTCTGCCCTGAAGTTTCAAGTTTAGCTCATTCAAAGAGTCAAATATGTCAGTGAAATAAGCCAACCTCCATTGAAATGTGTCATCTTTGAACAGTGTCAAGAAATCGTGTTTTTCTTTGAGCTCAAGAAGAAGAACTACCTCTTCCTTCAATTCATAAAGGCGAGCCAACATGTTGCCTTTGTATCGAACAGAACAACATTGTGATCAGAATCGAGATCATTGCTAAGTAAAGTAAATAACCCACTGTTCAAAGCACTGCTCTTGATGTAGATTACAATCCTTATAGCGAAAGCCTGGCGTAATTTATGTGGCAATGTTTTGAAAGCCAAAGCTTGCCGATGAATAAAACAATGTGTACTATCCATTGCAGGATTTTTTCCTTGAGCTTTTTAGCTAAGCCCGATCGTACACCTATCATTGCAGGTGAGCCATCTGTGCAAAGTCCAATGAATTTCTTCCAATCCAAATCATTATTTTCAACAAAATTTGATATTGAATTAAATATATCTTCAGATGTAGTACCTGCTGTCAAAGATTAGGAGTACAAAATCTCTTCTTGAATGATATCTCCGCCCATGTAACGAACATAAACTATTACTGTGCACAATTAACGATGTCGGTGGATTTACCGCAACTAATGGCCATAATTTTACTTTGTTAATTGTTTGTGACTTTATGTCTGCTGCAATGTCATCGATTCTACGCTTGGCTGTGTTATTCGAAAGTCAAATAGACTTCATTTTTTGCCCTGCATCGTCTCCTAAAGTTATCTGCGTGGCTTTTAGGACACATGGTTTCATTAATCCTTAACCGATAGTATGAGGTTTCTTTTGCTTTGCTATCATAAAAGCTATTTCAAATGAAGCTTTGAGATGCTGCGATACACCTGCTGTGTGATAACTTTCCGATTTATCCAGTAACATCTGCTTGAGTGACTCTGCTTCAGAAGAGAAAAACACTTTCGTCTTCAAAACCAGAGCAGGATGTTGTTTCTTCAAATGCATTTCAAGGCGAATGGGCCTCATGCTATCATTATTTAAAACTTTCATACATATCACCCAGGGAGGCAATTGTAACTCGTCTTTTTCTATGAAAGTAATGACAAACTTAACGTAATCTTCGGAAAACTTTCTTTTTTTCGCCGCCTGTAACAATAAAACTAACAAGTATGAATAAATAAGCAAAATACCTACATGTAATTACTAATTATAATATGTCCCTTATTTTATCTTAATAACGTAATGTATTCAACAGTATGTTAGACAAAATGAAAATTTATATTTTTGTAGGCAGGTTGATGTTATAATAGTAATTTTAGATACATTTGGAATCAATATTAGGTACTTAAAGTTCGTCGTTTCAAAATTATTTCGCCACGTTGGTTGGATTGTGATGTGGTAAAAAAGCCCCAATGGCCGATCTATGAACGCGTCTCCACCCAATCAACAATTTAGTAAATTAAATAAAAATGGTAACTGAAGTTTGTAAATACACAAGCTGACCTTTTAACAGTGAGACACAATAATTTGACACACTAAAACAGATTTCTCAACAAAACATGTACAACGAGACGTCAAATGTTTCCCAAGTTTGTGGGAATGAGTGTCACAGATGGTCATCCGCGTCTGGTAGGTACACAATTATTTTCTATATGATGAATGTTAAGCGGAACGTGGCGGGGGTGCGCGCGGATTTTAGGTTGTGACTTGTCGAAACGTGTATAACCTACGATTGACGACGTCGGGTTTTGAAACAACGATTGACAGAATAATTGAATATTATATTTAATTTCTAATTTTATGCGTGTAAATGAAACATTACATTGCAATGTTATTTGTTAACGTTGTTTGTTTATTTTTTGTTTTGTTATTTCTTTCTAAAATGCAAACGCTGTCCGCCCCCCTTGACATCTCTCTATGCCCCCCTGGTTGGGAACTTCTGATGTATACAATCAGACAAGCAAGATGGCTTTAGTTTATTTACCTTGAAATTTAATATCTGCCGTTATTACCGCTCTGGTCTAAAACAAATTAGGCTTCATCGACAATGACATAAAAAAGTATTCAAAAACATACATGCGAACTGCGCCTATGACGTGGATTCATATAGGTGTAGATCAAAGAATTCATATAGGTCAGCTTTTCCCCGCATAATCTCTCTACTCTGTACGAAGAACAGATAAGACGTAGCCTCGAATACCACCTACATGTTTGGGTGCCGCCGCCCCCACTACATTGGCCTTATTCGATGCTCTTCAGAGGAGGGCTGTTCGATGGACCGATGATACCTTAAACCGGGTACTCATTGAGGAACTGCAACCATTACAGCAAGAAAATTCAGTGGTGCAGACGTGTTGCGAACTAAGTTCTCGAGCACTCGTAGAGCCGCTCGCAGCGATCCGCCACCTGTCGGTTTTCAGGACGAACACAAAGAGATTCTCAGTTGGTTCGTGGACGTAGTTTGGGGGGTTCGCGTGCACGGCTGCTGATCTCGCAACAACAATATGAGCACGTGGGGTCAAGATAAGGTTTTGGTATTAATTGAAAATTACAAAAAGATGCCTGTAATATGGGATCCAAAAAATCACGGTTATTACAAAAAACATCTGAAAGAAGGTGCTTGGACTGAAATTGGTTCTTTAATTGGCACAACTGGAGATATCTGTAAGAAAAAGATCGTCACTATCTTGACGTCCTGGAGAAGGGAGAAGGCAAAAAAAATAAAAGTCCTGGAATTGGAACAAGTAATTTTTATTTATAATAAATTTGAAATAGAAATGAAAGATCCACTTCTCTGAACATTACAGGGGCCACTACCGTCGAGGACGTTTATATTCTTCAATCAATGCATCTATCAGAATAAATGCACCACTGGCTCTCATTTCTCTTGGTATCGATGCGACTCGAGCTCCTTGCGGGCACTGCGGTTCGAGAGGTTCACGAGAAGCAAATAACGTTACACCACAAAGTACTCTGCCAGAGGCGACACTCTGTCAAAACTCAGGTTCCATCAACGCCTACTTGAGTTCTATGCATTTGGTGGGATTACTATTGCTGTGACACTTAAAGGTTATCCGTGTAATGTTTTGACAGGTTCCAGAAAACAGTGTTATCAATACAAATCAATTATCTGGCCTAAATGAATTTGGGGATATAACAAATGCAAAATTTCTTCATTCTGTGGCTTAATGTATGACATTCGTGCCGTCAGGCTAATAACGCGTAGCAACCCCCAGGAAAAAATTCTCCGGACGCTTCTGAACAGAAGCGGGAAATTTTGTAAGCAACTTAGGACACGAAGATCAAAGAGACTGACATCAGGTGTCGCATCTGTATAATCTGTGGTTACACCTCGCGACGATGTTGATACAGTAACGGTTGCAGTTACAGTTGCAGTTCGTCAATGAGTACCCGGCTTTACGAACGGACAGACTAGAGTTCCTTCGCACAGACATTAAATAGACTTCATCGAGAGCATTATTTGAAAAATCACTAATTTGTGCACTCGTAAAAATCGCGGCTTTCTTAGGCTTGTAACCTTTCCCATTTTGTTTCAGAAATGTAATTAGTTTGAAATATTCCGAAAAATAAGCCAACAACACCGTCTCCGACAAAGTACTGCATGTTTTTTTCATCCTCAATTCCATGAATCTTGAATGCGTGGTTTCGTAAATTTTCCTGTTTTAGCTGGCGATAATTTTTGTGACGCTACTTAGGCTACTTCTACTCATTCCTGTGGAGTCAAAGAAGACTTTATAGTACTTTATAGTATTAAGAATAACTTCTAAAGAACCACTCAGTTCACAATTTTTAAATCAAATCACAAAATTAAATTTTCAGCTATTTGATTACCTTAAAAGTTTCCTTAGTAACACAGGTCTAATTGTCGCTATAAGTACAACATAGGCTACTAATTTCAAAATTCAAATTTCACGTTGACAATTTTCTGACTTAAATATTGTAATAATATAATTTTTCAATAATAAATCGTCGTTTCTCCCGTCACAGAAAAAACCTTTTTCTTTTGTATAATAAATAACTACTACTCACCTTGCCCCCGTTATTCATTTTACGAGCTGGCTATATTTACCTTCTCGAACAAACATAATTTATTCTTCCGCCAAATCTAATTTTACAAGAAAGTGGCCAAATGTGTTGAGACCTAGAGCTTATAATAAACTTCAGGCAGACTATTTACTTGATAAATATTATTACGGCATCAGTGATTTCGTTAGCGTGTATATATTTATTTTTGGCAAATCTAATGCGAATTTGTCAGATGGATAATAAATTTCATTATTATTACCGCTATGCCAACCGGCTTCCTTCTTCAGACCCCTCTTCCATAACGACCTCTCCCTCTTTTTTGGGGTATCGATATTGTAGAACAATCTACCTGAATAAGCTTTTCCCAGTTCTGCTGACCTTAGGCAGTTCAAGAATTGAATTAACCAGTCGTCTTTGAGACCCTTATAGCAGTCGCAGTCGCGTATAAAAAAGATCTCTTTGGAGTGCAAATTATTATGCATAGCTCGTAATAGCGACGGTTTGGATTGATTGCAAAAAATGCAGGGTTTCAAAATTTACGATGTAATCGAGTAACAAAAAAAGGTAAAATGATTCCAAGAATAAAAATTAAATCAGGCTTCGTGCGCAAATTGGACATACAAAATGACAAAATGGAGTATTCTTTCTTGTAATAATAACAGTGTGCTATCCAACCAAAAGCCTCAAGAAATTTATGAAAAAGATCTGATCAACAGAGTGTCTTCAGGCTCGTTGTAGCACCCGCGGTGCCTCGGGGGTTAGGCTTCTGCGTACTCAGCTGCTTCGGTATATTATGAAATATGTTGTCACAGAAAAATACAAATTTTTTGGGAAATGTCAACAAACGTCCACCTAGCGGTTTATGTCTAGACTTGCATCCTGATTACTGATTGGATAATCCTGGTTCAAGAAGAATCTCATCAAAGTTATTTGATATAGATGAACGTAATATAATAGATAGTACAGATTTTCCAATGTACCTGTAACAAAGTAAGTGTCTCGCACTAGCGGAAGGACAGAGTGGCAAACAGTTGTCGGTACCCTGAGTGCCTCTCATGAAGTTACATGGAGGCTTCAGGTGAAACGGTTGGCCCACTTAGAAAGTGAGGCCCTTTGAAGGGTCCATTAATCCCATCGGTGATCAGCGTATAGAAATGGTGTCACGTTACGGTCTAAGGGCTTCGCTGTCGTACACCTATGCAAGAAAATATTGCACTACAACCAAACGTTTGTCGTAATAATCCATCCATCAACATTATTATATCAAAATATGACGATACTATGCTTTTATTCAGTATGAAAGTATTCAATTGTCAATAACGAGCTACTATATCGCTCTAGATCAGCAAAGCTGTCATCTGTGATCGGTCTCCGAAAAGCGTTAAGTTTGTCAAGTAAATTGAACAATAGCACGTACTTCTCCGGTCGGTTGAAGAAACTTATAAAAAATAAAATCATCCAAGTCGGCGAGATGGTTAGGCCAAATAAAACCCAGCAAAAACATTTCCGGAAATGGCTCTCGGCCATTTTTAGAACTATGCTATAGCGCTCAACAGATAAACAAGAAGTGTTTATGTAATTGTTAGTTGACATTTATTTTTATTCTTATAATCATCGCTGCTGACAAGTTTACCAATGTTACAATTGTGTGACTATCTTGCATGGATAGAACATTGCTACTTGATACAAACTATTTCAAAAACCATTCAAGATAACAAAAGGAGGAAATAATTCGTCAGCTCAATAACGAAAATTTAAAACTAAAAGAGCAACAGCTATCAGTAACCGCAAGTATTACTGAGAAGGATGCCATAGCATCAGCATTAAATAGAATTAACATGAGACTCGACGAAGTTGAGAAAAACCGGTTAGTGAAAGAAAAGTCATACGCACAAATCTTAAAACAAACGATACCTATTTCTAAAAGGCAATCCCTGAAATGCATCACCGTTATTCCAAAAGAAAAACAATCTTGCGATGATACGGGAAGATAATTGAGTAAGACAATGTATCTTTCATCTCTGAACATTCAAATAGAAAGTGTGAGAAACTCGAAAAATGGCGGAACTGATATAAAAATTGATGAACCAAATCATAGTGAACTGACAGATGAACTTCAAAATAAATTGAATGAAAAATACCATGTAACTGAGCCGAAAATATTAAATCCAAAAATTAAAATAATAAATTATAAAATTAGTGAAAAGCCAAATGAAAAGCAAATTGAAGAAGATATTATACATCAGAATTATATGATTCAGAGTGGAGACACACAAGTATAGTTTATAAAATATTTTCCATCAAGAGACAATTACACTATCTACGCGGAAACTTCTGGAAAACTATTAAAAAAATCTTCGAATACAATTATAGAAGAATAATCCTGGGGTGGCAATGTTTGACTGTATATCAAAATAACGCCATTTCTCAGTGTAGAAAATGCTACCGTTTTAATCATACAGAAAAGAATTTCCGGAATGAGGAGATATGTGCCAACTGTAGCAACGGTCACGAAGGAGAAAATTGTAAGCATCATCAGCAGCAAAATTATAATATCAACCACTCACCTACCGACAAAAACTGTCCATCGTTCAAATATCAGAAACAACAAAACTTAAGGATACTTTTTTAAAATCCAAGTTCATCTTTTGACACTCCTATCTCTAAAGAGAACTTAAAAATGTCAGTAAATAAATACATTAATGATTTCCAAATTCCAAGTATTGCAACAAATATAGCACAAAACGCCGATGAACTTAATTTATGTACACAAAATTCTGATGCGAAATTTCTAATTTTTAATATGAACATAAGGAGTATAAAACACAACATTGATTACTTAAAAATACTACTCGATCAAATATGGTATAATTTTGATCTAATAGTTTTAACTGAAACGTGGCGAGTGGTTGATATTTCTTGCTTCAATCAGCAGGGAATATGACACGCTGTATAACTTTGGCACTTATAACCAAAACGATGGGGTGATAGTTTTTGTAAGAAATAAACTTCAATATAATCATGATACATTCACTTTCACCGATGGAATCAAAACTTTAAACATAATGATCCAAATTAACCATAACAAAATCCAGGTTTCTGCACTTTATCGTCCGTCATGTTCAGAACCCCACCAGTTTTTAAAGAATATCGAATTTTTTTTCAAAATCAAAATAGCGCTCATTTAAAGCAACATATTTTCTTGGGAGATATCAATATAAATATTTTGGATGATGATCCCATCACAAATGAATACTTATATCCTATCAAGTAACGGATTTCTGTCCTATAAAAACCTACCTACAAGCTCCATCAGTGGCACATGTATAGATCACTGCTTTGTGAAAGACCTATCCAACAAAATTACTTGTATTCCAACAATCCTAGAAAGCGATATTACTGACCACTTCTCCAATATTTTACTGATATCTTCAAACAAAAAACATTCTAACATCAGTACCGTTAATAACAACCAGGAAAATTACAAATCTTTTGTCGAAAATTCAAAACTAATATCAGATATCAAACAAGAATTCTGGGAACAATTATACCCTATAAATATATAGACAAAGCAACGGGACTGTTCATAGAGAAAATAAAAAAACTAATATTAGTACCAATAAAGTAATAATTAATCACAAAGAGAAAAGCAGAAATGCCTGGATTACCAAAGGACTAATAACATCGGCAATTTAAAAAGAAAGAATGTATAATGTAATGGAACTAACGCCAACTACAAAAACAAAAATAAATTTATAGAGCTTGCAAGGCAAACCAAACGAAAACATTACCGAAATAAATTGAATAATAACTTAAATGATCCTAAGCGGCTTTGGACAACTATTGATGAGATTACTGGGAAAAAAAAATTAAAGAGTGTGTCATGAGTTAAATACAACATCGGGAACAGTATTAAAAAATACTCAACAAATATGCGATCAATTTGTGCAATTTTTTACTGACAGACGAAAATTTAGCAAGTAATATACAATCAAATGTGCCCAATACTCTGCCCCCGAAAAGATCTTTGAACTCATTTATTTTGGATAAAGTTGAGCAATGTGAAGTATACACCACTGTTATGTCCTTAAAAAATCGAAAAAGTCCTCGGTTCGATGGTATTAAAGGCAAGCATTTGAAAATTATAGCCGAGGACATAAAAGAACCACTCACCTACCTAATCAACAAATGATTTGAATCTGGCATATATATCCCTCAATTTTAAAAAAGGTAATATAATACCGATATATAAATCAGGAAGAAAAACAGATGTTAACAACTATAGACCAATATCATTAATACCCAGTGTAGCAACAGTTTTTGAAAAAGTTCTATCTACTAGAATGATTCGATATCTCACAAAATTTAAAATTTTAAGTGAAAATCAATATGGATTTACAGAAGGGAAGACTAAATCTGACGCAATAACTAAAATTGTAAATCAAATACATCAAAATATTGATAACAGAATCCCTTCAATCTGCATTTTTGTTGATTTAAGGAAAGCTTTCGACACAGTTAATCACAAATTATTATTAGCAGCATTGGACAGAATTGGTTTCAGAGGAAACGCGTACTCACTGATCGAAAATTATTTGTCAAATCGCCCACAATCTGTGCAGATATCAGGATCGTTTAGTAAAGAAATGTATATTAAGCGTGGTGTCCCACAAGGAACTGTTATTCAATATATATTTAAATGATATTTTCCAAATTAGTTGTGTTGGCAAAGTAGCCAGTTTTGCAGATGATACTGCAATATTATATGAAGGCACTGACTGGTCTGATCTGAAAAATGTAATTAAAAATGATTTTTTCAAAATTATTCGGTGGTTTAACAGTAGAAAATTAAGCACTAACTATTCTAAAACACATTTTTTCCATTTGGATCTTATGCTAGACATCTGCCAAATTGCACAAATTTCTCCTCCAGCATTAATGCTCAAAAAAAGCAAATTAATAGAGTGCCCATCATAAAATACCTTGGAGTGGTCTTGGATCCTCACTTACGTTCGGACATCTACATATGTCAATTATATTTTAAAGAAAGTTAGATTTGTATCCTACAAAATTAAATACCTTGGGAATATATTGACAGAAAAATATCTTCGAACATTATACCATGCACTAATTGAGCCTCATCTCACACATGGTATATTAGCATGGGGAGCTGCATGTTACTCACATATCTATAATTTTGATGTTTTTCAAAAAAGTATTCTAAAAATGATGTTTAAAAAACCAAAACATTATCCCACTGACAAAATATACGCAGATGTTCGAATGTATGATATAAGACGGCTTTATTTCTTACACAGTATCACTCACTACCATAAATTTGTAAACTCCGACCAAAAAATTAACATTCTATATCTAGGACTGAAATTCATAAACTCATAAATATGAACATCAAGTAAATAGATAATTTACTGTAGCTAATTTTTGTAATTTTTACTCATTTGCATTCTACAGTTGCAACTTACAATTATTGGTACATGTACAGGCGATGCGTTCTATTGGGCCTGTTTTGATTTTATATGTATTTACTCATGTTGTTTGTTATCTTTGTACATTGAGTGAATAGATATTATTATTTTTTTTTATACTCCAACTACCACGAAGGCCTAAGGCCTAAACACCCATTGGGTACCGTGGGGCTATAGGGGGATACAGGGGAAAGGGGGAACGCCACACGGACTCTGGCGAGGGAACACGTGTGCATGCACCATGCACACATTCTGGCTCCGCCCACGAGATCCGCCGGGTGGTACCCCACGTTCGACAGTCAGAGACCGTCTACCTCCTACGGACAATCACAACATCCATAGCCAAGAGAAAAATATTATATATAATATATTTAAAAAAAAATTATTACTTTCTTTTGAACTTCTGAAGCACCTGGAGCAATTCACTAGCTACAATATAGAATTTCAACTGAAACCACAATCTTGCATTACCTTGCTTAATTTTTTTCAACGTTATTAAATCGCAAAAACTATTTCGCCATTCATTTAATAAACGACGAAAAATGGGATATTCATATTTTACATTTTTCCGTGCTCCGTTTTATTAATGATAGGTATTAATCAAAAAAACACCAATATGTCAGATGACGTTGAAAAATCGGACAAGTACCAAGCTGGCTAGAAATCATATTCCATTCGATGGGAACAAAGCAACTGCAATTCCCGGGTATTTACAGGTACGTTAGGTATGTGTACGTATATAATAATGGTTTATTGTGTACCATTATAAGAGAAAATCAATATTGCCGGTAGTAGCAAAGTGATGAGTGGAAAATAAAACTGCACATATGAAAACCTAAGGCTTTGTTTGTGGAGAGGTTAAATTTTTTTTAAAATAGATACTATTCGATGCTTTCTGTTTTGTCTACTCTTTTTTAAGTCAACGTTTTTTAGCTACTAGCTATTGTAATTCATTTTTTGTCTTTTTCCTTAGCTTTTGTAGATATCTAAAAGTAGAAACAAGTGAGCAAGGATTTAGCTACTGCCAAGTTAAGAGTAAAAGATCGTCAGACAAATATTGTCTGGAGAAATTGTATAGTGGATGTTTACAGAACATTGGGTAAAAGGTCCACAGGTGATGCTTCAGGCGAATATCACACGATCAGTATTTACTGGGGGTACCACCCTGATAATTTTATCAGTGTTAACGGATTTCTACTTTACCTTATACATCATGTAATTTGTATTGCTAATGAATCAAATGCTATGTATGTATCTGTTTTAAATATATTTTCCATCCTTGATTAGGAGTTGAATCTTAGTTGATGACAGACAATTTTCACTACGAATCTGGTCTTGAAAATATCAAGTACATGATGCTTGAGATTACAAAATCTGCAAGCCCGCAGCTTTTAAAAAATAAGTTCCCCTACTTTTCATATCTTCTTTCAATCAATGACAGAAGGAGTGTCCGACTGTGAGCGCTTGAGGCACTGAGTCAATGTACTTGGTTAAACTTTCTTACTCAACTTAATGGACGGGACAATATTCACATAATCTTTTACAATACACAAACCCCTCAAATGGAAGCAAATGAAAACCGTTAGGTACCTCGCTGAGGGTGGAATAATCGAGAACTGGCAGCTATCCGCGGGCGATGCGGACTTGTGGTTCACCCTGCGCGGCATGAACGGCATCAGCGTGGCGTCGGCCATAATTTATTCTCGAGCAGCTCCCATTTTCCCGATTCTATTCATGCAGCGACTGAGCGGGATCGTGTCCGATCTTCGAACATAAATCGTTGATTTTGTGGCGATGACGTATGATACGAGGTCGCTTCTCAAATACTTTTCATATCCTACCGACAATATGGGTGGTCCCGGAGGAGTGCAGGTCGAGTCTCAGTAAGTGTGTCTGTGTATGGTGTATCAGTAAAATTTCATTTAAAAGGACATACATATAGGCATCCATACCACGCATAGATAATAACACTGAAGTCTATGGAATACAAGCACAAATACGATCTTAGTAAGGCAAATTAAACTGCCATTCGCTTGAAATAATTATTTCCAAGTTTTATTCTTTGCTAAGGTCTAGACGAAAGTGTACCCTTGTTCTGAACCTCTGATTTCCTTAAACATATTTATTTGGAGGATGCTGTTGACAGTAAAGCAAGTGACCTTAATGCTAGCAAAGTGTCAAGTTTGCATGTCAAACCCATGTATGCCTTATATTTTTCATATCGCAGCATCCGCGTAATACTGGAGCATCGCAGCTGCTATAAGGAGCTTAAAGACACTAGAGAAAGCCTTCTCGAGCAGATTGTTCCACAATCTCATCAAACAGAGATAGCGGGTAAGAGGCTCGTTGTGAGGCAGCATTGTGAAGAAGAGCTCTGAGGAGCAAAACCCATTGACATAGCAGTAGAGGAGAGCCAGACTGGAGCTGGCCCGTCGGTATAAAGTTGTTCCAAAGCTGTCCGTTAGAGCAGAGTCATTGACCAGTCGAAGAGGTCTCGTCAGTACAGCATCGAATATTGCCAGTTCAGTCTAGGGGTAAGCATCCCAAACATGTGAGCAATACTGAAAGCTAGGTCTTATTAGGGCCTTGTTCAGAGTGAGGAGGTTATATTGACTATTTTCCTCGTCTTAATTTCTATCAATCGCAAATGCGCAATTTTGAATTACAAATTGTTTCTAGATGGAAAAATTGTATGACATCGCCTGTCAGCAGTTTTTCCGAGTGTACCCGCGGCAAAACTTGACAGACGCTGTCACCAAAAATTAGGTATGCGTGTATAATAGGCAGTATGTTTCGTAAGCTACGTGTTTGCAATGTAATCTATTACTCATGAAATACTCGTGTCAAATAGCATTCGGGCATCTAATTTTTTTCCTGTGAAAAAAATCGAAAAAACATAATGCAAAGTAATATTTTATTTAACAAGAAGCATGAGTGCTGCAAAGTATTACTTAGCAACGGGTTTTCTCGATTATCTTCGAAAAAATTAGATGGCCTCATGATATCACTTACTTACTTACTTCTTAGATATTAACAAGTAGCCTAGCTTTTTTCCAGCACTTGCCGCGATTGACGCAATGTATTTGTGCTAGATCAAGTCCTTGGTGGTCCAACCAGCTGAAATGAATGGCTCTTTGGTAGAACTGGGCCATCCATCGAAACCGGATGGGAGCTAGGGCTAGGCATACTTACTAGTCAAGATACAGCACTGTTCTTTTGGATCATTAAACTGTACCAGATTGTTGCATCCCCAAACCGTGCTATCAGTCTAGATATATGTCTTAAAATGTATATGAAGGTTGCCTACTGCTTGGCGCGTTTGAACCCTTCACAGTCTTCTATTTGGAGAATGTTGATGATATAGCTTTTTTCAGCTATTACATGTCAAACTCTTCTCGGCTATTTGACTCATGTGTGACAGAAATTTTAATAGAAATAGGTTGATAGGAAAAATATTGTCGAATGTTGGAGGATGTGCAGTTTCTAATTATACAGTCAAATGCTGGTATCTCGATTCCAAGTGCGGAAAGACATCTTGTAGAAGTTCAGACAAAGCGGTGGTGGAGTGGTGCATGGCTATAACTAAGTCTCCGTGAGCTGCGCGGGTCTGGGTCCAGTCCCAGCAGAATTTTTCCTTAGCTATGGATGTTGTGATCATCCGTAGATGGTAGAGGGTTCCGGACTATCGAACGAGGAAGAACCACCCGGCGGATCTCTAAAGCAGGTCTTATGCAACGTGTTCCCTCGCTACAGTCCGTGGGACCTCCTTCTCTTTCTATCTCCATATAGCTACACACGCTACCCACGTGTGTTTAGACCTTGGACCTTGTGGTGGTTTAAGTATGATAAAATGAACGTTTGGATTTGCAATGACCTATTATGCAAACATAATCTACTAATTGCGAGATGCTATTGAAGAGAAACTTAAGGGGCAAGTTGAAAAATTACGTACTGCTTTTATACTGATATGGCCGTGCTCCACCAACCCTTTTGAGCGATTCTGTGTTATATTCCAACCAGATTTGAAAATTTTTGTTACGATAAAAGCGGCGCCTGGCTATAAATTTGTATCCAATGATAATCGAACTATTCTTGTACGATACCAGAACTCAAGGCTGGAACAATCTATAATACTTCCAAAACTGATAGGGTGCGATATTTTGAAGCAACCAATAGCTGATATCTGCGGTAGCGAAGTGCTTTCCGGTAGTCGCTCGTTACTGATAAGTTAATGAAATGCTCTGCACCGGTTAAACCATAGCATTTGTCCTTGAAGTGGTCAAGCAGAAAAATGAAGCATAACTTCAATGTAACTTTCTTGCAAGTGGTCACGGGTCAACCCTTGAAGCTTCACAGATGATAACACTCAGCATGCAGGGCTTCATGGTGCCGACTAATACTCTATGGTTGAACTGGTAAGAAAAAGCTGGCGATATATCTTCGGCATAACGATGCAGCTTAGTGCTTCTAAGATATAGAATCGTTCCTTGAGTAACAAGAAGCGATAAGCTCGAGCACTCGGGCAAACCAAACATCATCTCAACCTCCTTATTAGTATGGTGCGACATTTCAAGTTTGAGCACATCAAAATTCCTGGGTGCGGAAAAGTTGTGTCTGAGGTAAGTATTTTACTCTTATCACAAAAAATGATTGGAGCTAGTCTTCTACCCCTCCAAGGTAAAATCATTTTCTTATAATGAAACGGTGGTGTGGAGGTGGATGACGAACTTAAATCAGTTTGTATTAGATAAAAAGAATATATCTCACTATGTAAGAAGTTCAGGGATTCTTTTCCTAATATTAAGTGTGTAAAGTAAATTGAATTGAAAATAAATTAACTATTTATTTTCGTAAACTTGGCAACACTTATTGGTAACCGTAGAAACCTTCAGAACAATCAATTCTCCCCACCATAGCACTGCAGTAGGTAATCTGCCTTTTTCATGCTAATGAATTCCCTAAAGGCATTTAGCCCAACACCTAGATGGCAAAATACCTGGACCTCAAACATTTAACGGTCCAATCGGGCAGATGCTAGTGCGTTGTGAGAATCTGCCTTTGTCAAATTCAGACGAATTGAATCAGCTCTTACAGATATACGGACCAGTGATTTGAGTTGCGATCAGAAATACCTTTACGATATTTGTCAAGTCGTTGTAAGTGGAACTTGGATGGAAAACATGCCAAAGCGCGATCCTGGAAAGCTTAATCACTCCAGATGGCTAACCACAAGTAATCGAATTCTCAAGCTTCATGTAGCTACTAAAGACCCATCGGATAGTTTGGTAACATTATCGACATTTGTAAAAAAAGTGTACGCGCCGATGTGCATTTAGAGAAGTCAAAGCATATTTTCGATTAAATTAATCTAAGTAGATATTTGCCAAATGAGTTAGGAGATACAGTTTATGTGTCATTCAAAGAACCGGTTACTTTGGTCATCCCGAATACGTTCTGCTAGCTATGCTTTGGGATAAAAGAAGGTATATTAGGAAACTTGCCTATCAAAGAATATTAGAAGCACGAAATAATATAAGTCATGATTAAAACGTTCGCAATTTTGTTATTCCCAAGTTTAACTTTGATTGTGAAGAGTATATTGGGTTATTCGATATCCTATTGTAGGGATTTGCCTTGTCTTAGCAAAGTAGTTGGAATAGCGATAAAATTGGTCACACAATCATCCACCTCGGTTTGTGGTCCAAAGAGAAAGGATGGGATTATTCTAAACACTTTGGACTCCAGAGCAAAAATGCCAAAGTTTGAAAGCAAGAGAGATTCTAATATTGAATACTCTCTTAACCTGATTTGCATATGTAGTTTTCACTTGAAAATAAAAAGATTACAGTTTTTTTGTAATCCTGCATTCAGCCCTTATTACTTGGAGGGATTTTAAATTTCAAACATATTTTTTCCACACCTATAGCGACGCACCACCCTACTCATAATGGCAGTCGTGGTATCTCCTTGTGTTTGTTTATGCTTCGGTGGCTTCTTCAGTGTTAAAAGTGCCATTCCACGTGAAATATCCTATAGTATGCTAATAATATACATTAAACTATCAGTATCAGATTATGAAAATTTCCAGAATATCTTGTATATGTTGACACTGATTCATTAATAGACACCAGATTAAATTCGCTTGTATTGCTAGGCGATACCAACAAAACAAATCTAAGCTACGACATCTAGCGGTCACAGTGGTAACTCCGCTCTCAAACGCGAACTGAGAGCACTTTACTGTTCCAACAGATAGCTGCTGTTCACTCTCCAAGTGATCAGTGCGGGCAATAGATGACACCTTTTGCTGCCAAATCTCGATAGACCTTAGGCCTCAGATAGAGGAAAGGTTCTTTGCTTTAATTTTTGTCCTACCTGAAACCAAGCCTACATTGTGCTGACCATGACCAATAAGTATGAAACGGCAGTACCAGGTTGGCAGTCTGGGGTGCGTCGAACGAAAGGAGATAAACACAGGATTTGTGTCATGACAATTTTTGGGTGTATCTTATGTATTTCGAGACCCTTAAATCAAATCTAAAAATAGAATTTTTCTATTACCCACAGATATTCGATAACATCTACTTTTATGAATTACAATACGTAACATCTCATATTGCTGCATTTCTCGGCGTTTATGCGATGACGCACATATATAATGTTAAGACTTGCCTATTCCTATTTATTATATGCT